TTATCACAGAAAAATATCTCTCTTGATCAAAATTAGTGTGATCTCCATAGTATTATTATTATCTTTTTTTTTTACAGGCTCCTTCTCATATTAATCTGTTCTCATTCTATCACTAGATTAAATGAAATTTCTTTGATAAATAGAAATGGAAAATGTTAGCATAGACCAAACAAAAAAAAAAAAAGTGTAATTAATGAAGATTCGAATATGAGTCTCGCTTTCGCAATTACTATCGGCGCCAGAATTCAAGGCAGTCGGATGTTTTTTGAATAACTTTTGATAGGAACAAAATAGAGACTTGCGGTTTTCAGCATTTGATAGGAAAGACCCAGGAACAGATTTTCATAAGCAAAATCTTTGCTAAGAAAAAATCTGAAGATCTGTTTTTCAGCGAGTCTTTGGAAAACCACGCTAGATTCCTGAAAAATGCCATAGGAGTATATTGATTTTTTTACATACTCTGAATCAGCATCAAAAACTGAGTCGATTCATGAATGTTTCGAATCTTTTCACGAACTTATTTTTTCGCCGAAAAATTCACCCCTGGTCCTCCTGAGGAAGAGATCAAAAAATAAAGTCAGTCAAAAAGTCACTTGGACAACGGAAATCGAGTTCAGAGCTTCTAAAATGCTAGTAGAACATAGAATGGCAAATGAATAAACAATAAAAACGGAGTTTTGGCTGCCTTCATTTTTTGACCTACACCTCATGGGGACCAGAGGTGAATTTTTCGACGAAAAAATAAGTTCGTGAAAAGATTCGAAGCATACGTGATTCGACTCAGTTTTCGATGCGGATTCCGAATATGTAAAAAAATCAATAGACTGTTATGGCAGTTTTCAGAAATCCAGCATGGTTTTTCAGAAATTCTCTAAAAAACCGATCTTCAATTTTTTTTCAGAAAAGATTTTGCTTATGAAAATATGCTCCTAGATCTTGGCTATCTAACACTGAAAACCGCAGGTCTCTATCTTGTTCCTATCAAACATTATTCAAAAAACATTCGACTGCCTTGAATTCTGGCGCCGATAGTAGTTGAGTTTGTATGAAAATTCTCAATGCTTACTTGATTTATATATCTGAAGAAAAGAAAAATTTTCAATTCAAATGATCAAAATTTCAAATATTCAAAGTTTTGTTTTTTTTTCTTCTCTTGCGACTAAGATCAACTTATAAAATATCCAATTATACTTTATGACCATTCATAAACAAGATCAGTCATCTCTTACTTTATGACATAAATGCAACTGATCACCATTCCTATCTATATAGCGACTTTACATGATTGCTCTATTATTTCAAGAAGCTGTCCCATATGGAGATATTAAGATAATGACAGGAATGCTTGAAAAACATGCATGATGCACAGACATAAGTCAAACATAGAGACTTGATTTTCCGTCAACTATTCATTCACGGCAGTGTTTCTCAGAAGCGAATGACAGCGTATCTTCTAATAGTCATCATTTGCTCTACTTAAAAACGATATGAACAACAAATACACGAACAATAAGGAAAAAAATCAACAAGTCTGCGAAGCTCGTTGAGTTGAATCTAGTTCCATAAAAAAAGAAAGTTGAATTCAATCGTATAACAAGTCGCGACAGAAACTATTTGAATCCTGATCTAAGATATTCTACATTTGGCCATGCGTTTAATTTCGCTAAGAAATGAGAATTAACGAGTCAAAGCTTAATACAATATATTTATTGATTGTGAACATTCACAAAACAAGTATTTATTGAAGTAGTAGATGTACTAGAAGATGAATATTGTATCTGTACTTTTCAACAATATTAAAATTGGATATTCAAAGAAAAATATTGAAGAAATAAATTTCATATTAACGACACAAATTGTTATAAAAGTTTTTTTCTACTTCATCGAAAAGAATATTCTATGCTTATTCGTCTTTAACGAGCAAATCTGAATAACCTTAATATTCGTTTTATTGCTTCACATTTCTCTGTGACTATTTTTAATGTTTATTGTCAATGTATTGTAACTAAATGCTTATAAAAGAAGGTTAAGAAGTATAGTGATTTTGTTTTAATCAACAGAATCATGAGAAAAAAAAAATTCATCTGAAAACATAAAGAAACGTAATCTGAGATAATTAATATTCTTTCTTAATGCAGTAGGATGTTCTTATTGAACTAGACAAGTTAGAAAATGGTGAAGAATATATATTTTTTTTCTTTCTAAGAATGGTGTTACATCATCTAGAGCATACCACAGAAAGTAATGTCATTATGATGAAAATTCTATTTCTACCTTTCCAAAAAATAGCAAACCGAACGGTTCAAAAACTGTTCTATTCAAATTAAAAAAAAAACAATTCTGAATCATGAAGAAAGCATTCTATAATAGTGTGGAACTACACAGAATGTGTTCTTTTTGATATATTTGTCGATTATAAACATACTCATCAAAATTTACAACACGTTATTCATAGTTAAGATTGATTTCTATGTTTTCATGAATGTATTCGTTACCGACTTTTTTCTGCCTGAACATTTTTTTTTTTATTGGAATTGATATTCACCATATACATGAATTTCAGAAAATTGTCGGTTCTACTTTATTATTATTTTCTGACACTACAATTGAATACAACGATCAGTTCGATCTCAGAAGGAAAGAAAAATACCCATCACATGAATGACAAAAAGGGGAAAAAAAATCGTAGATCGATGAATAAAAGAGAATGGAAAAATCCATAACAGATGGCTAATACCAATGAAACAAGAAGAGAGAGAGGCATATACAATCAGAACAATATGAAGGAAATTTCTTATGACTTTACGTAGAGATTGTGCAGGTTATAATATTTCGACGCAAATACGTAGAGGATTAAAGCATTAAATAAGGTAGCGTACAGTACAAAATTAAATATCACGAAATAGCACTGTCATTATGAATTAAGGTGAACAGAAGGAGCAATGATTAATATGACAAGTATTATTCGTAGTAATATTTTTCAAAATATCGTTTTTCAATTGACTTTGATATAAATTCATACATGAATATCTGACTATATGTGAATAAATTCTGTCGAGATTCTCTGTAAAATTGTACTGTATTCAGATCGAAACGAATGAAATGGAAACATAATTAAAATATGGGAAAGGAAATCGAAACATATTTAAAATGATACAAACATACTCTAGATAATTAGATAAACACCCTGTAACAAGAAGAAACATATATTTGGGTCTACTCATTCGGAACGGTGGAACATGTGTATCTCGAAGGTCATTTTTCATTAGGAGATAGTATATTTTGACATGTTTGCCTGCTTATTTATGGCGTGTTCGAATCGCTTCAAACACGTTTTGTTTTACGTTCGTATTTTTTGAATACCTTTTTCACTTCGTTCTTCACTACCTGGGTGTATTACCACGAGGCAGAGGACACCACTAGTCTATAGGTGATTACCGTGATTCGAAAGGATTGGTTCATTAATAACTTAATCGTCATCGAGTCTGAAAAAGCCATTCGGTATTAAAAATTTACGACACAAATAGAATCTCATAGAACATATAAAGAAGTAAAAAAAACATCTTTTTACTATTGTCCATTTATTTGAATAAAAACAATAATGATATTTATATTGTCATGGATAACTTAATTGTTGACAAATGACTAAAGATAGAATAAAAGATTTACCAAAACCTGTAAGTTAATACAAAAACATATTAATGTAATTAACAATATATTTCGTTTGTATTACTAGATTACATGGCCTCGTGTTTCTTATAAAAGAGTTCCACGACAAGTATTAATATGCTAATTGCTTGCAAAATACTCAGAGTTTAGATTAAACATAAATAAAAAAATAACAGAGGGCGAGTTATAATTAATTGTCGTTCTTGTTGTTAACCTTACATGCTTCGTGCATACCATGCTTCATTTGCACTTGTCCAAAAACTTTTTTTTTTTCAAATAAATTCAAATTGATTTTTGAACTTTTAGCACCGAAGCCATGAACCACAAAATATTGTCAATGATTGCCGTATTCCCCTTACTACCGTTGATGCAGACAAAGAACATAACGTACCTGAATTTTTAGCTCAAGTATGAATAACTTCTTTTTTTTCTGTAAAAAGAAAAAAAATGTGTAACTGCTTTTTCTTATCTTTTAGATTGATTTACTGCGATTACTTGTTGCTACGATTAGAGAATTTACACAAGATGTTACAGAAATTCACAAACGAATGATGGAACCTCTAGCTGATCATAGTATAAATACTAAAAACTATAGACAAAAATAAATTCTTTTATTGTAGAGCTTGGACAAGAACTGGATGATAAAACTGAAGATATAAAAAAATTAGCATATGAAATTTCAACGAAACTAAAAAGTAAGGGATTGAATATAGTAAATTCAAGTAGATTTTACTTTAAATTTATTTATTCATAATTCAATAGAGTTCGATCCAGGGGCATACCGAACCACTTATAGCAGGGGGGAGGGGGCGTAAAATATTTTAGGATTTAATACAATATTTCAACTGAAGCTATATGAAAATAGTGACGAAATGAAGAAATATAATAAAACTACAGTATTTAAAAAAAATCTATTTTTTTATGCATATTCTATTGTCTATCATTTATATCTAATCATTGACCAACTTTCGGTCACTGTTTGCAAAGACTCGTTCTTTCTGCTTTTTTCGGCTCAAAGCAAAAGATTAAGTGAATAAACACTTTGTTTAAGTAGAAATATTTTGATATCATCTTCTTATGCGTTGATAAGTCGCTAAAATTTCCTATATAAATATTTTATATTTCACAGTAATGGAGTACTCTTCCAAAACAGAGATATGCTCTGTCACTAAATTCCAAAAGTAGGGCGGGGGGGGGGGGCGTAACATCAGTAAATTCAAGAAGCAGGGGGAGGGACATTCTTAAATTTAGCAATTTAGATTATCATAATTTAAATAAAAAGCAAAATAAATCGGGAATCAAGATGACAAACTCCGTCACACCGTATATATTTTGACAAAATTTTATTCTTCATCGGAAATATACTTATGAGTTCTTCCGGATTTTTTTTTATCCACTAGCGTTATCTGTAGGAAGTCCGCAGTTTTGCGCTCATTAATATGCAGTTCAATGAAGTTTTTCATCTTGACTTTGAATTCATTATTTATTTTGCTTTTTAATTAAGCTATGATAATCAAAATTGCTAAATATAAATGAATTACTGTAAAAAGCTCGAAAGACAAAATTTCAAATAGTTAAAATTCTAAAAATCAAATCTCAAAAGATAATGTTCTCTTTCTATTACTGTTTAGTTAGTTTGATGTAAACATTATTCCTACAATGCGAATTCAATTTTCTCAACAAAAAAAAAACAAAATAAAATACTTTCGAAGAATTTCATAAAAACTAGAGATTTTTAACTATCAAGCAAATAACGTAATTACATATTCGTAATCATCCCATCGAGCTCTATTAAATTATGAATAAACAAATTAAAATAAAATCAACTTCAATTTGATATTTTTGATATCGTGTATAAAGAAAAAAACAATTATTTCTTTTTAATTAGAACTAGAACAAGTACATCAAGATCAACATGATATTAAAGGAAGTGCTCAATGGCGTATAACAGAATTTCAAATATTTACTATAATTAGGGAGTTTCGTGATATTATGAATCAATATAATCAAGAATATTGTGCACATCGAGACCGATGTAAAAGATCTATTATACGTGAACTTGAGATGAGTGAGTATTAACAAACTTTATTATGAACTAGTGAATAGTGCTGATCGTTAAAATCATGTACGTACTTACTTTCTGAATGCACTGAGCCGATATATTTTTACGATGAGTATTCATTGACTATGAGCTTTCGTCGATAGGTCAAATTTGATTGATGAACTATTCTTGGAATAAAAATTTGTTTTGACAGATTCTGAGTATGTACATTTTGTACAAACTTTACTTTTCTCAGAAAGTCAAATTTTACTTGTTTATTTGTTCAAGTTTCTTGAAAATGGAAGACATATTTATAAAGCGAAGAATGTCAGTGAATGAAAACAAATCTATGTCATTTCTGCTAAAGAAGTCCAAGTTACATATACTTTGTTGGGTTCAATACTGCCTCTTTGTTTTGTTCTTCATCTTCAGTGATGATTCGTACTAATTCTAATCTTTCTTACAGTGAAACTATTTTATTTAAGTAGTAATCAAAGTTTTATTGAATTATTTCTATTTTTTAAGCTGAATATTTATTTAAAAAAAAAAAAAAAAACAACACCGTTTAGCTGTGCTTAATTATATACATAGATTCCTGACCGTTCCGCTTCAGTGCATCAAACTATACCTAATCAGTTAATTTCTGATAGTTTCAACAGAAACTGATAATCATGTTTTCTTATATGCAGTAAAATATACTGGATATTCTATTTAAATCTAATCAATAAAATGAATAAATAACTCTCGATAGAAAATTAACTGGAGATATGACATACAAAAATATAGTGTAGCAAGGCAAAAAATAATTTTTTCAAATAACTTTGGTCATAATTAAAAGTAAAGATATTTTTCTATTCGATATGAACTTTTACTTTTGTATTTGGTTTATCCTGAAAATTTGTGAAAGATTAAATGACGAACTAAATCGGTTTTGTTTGGTTCAACTAAGTTTATTCGAAAGTTTTCTACGTACAATGAGAATCAAGATCAAAAGAAAATAATTTTTCTTAATTTCATATATTTATTTTTGATAGCTGGTATTAGAAAAACTGATGATGAATTAGAAGAAATAATTGAAAATGGTATTCAAGGAAGAAATACACTTTCTGTAAGATTTTTCTTTAGTTTTGTCTTTATTTTTAAATTCAAAAAGTCTTTAGATTGTAGTTGATGTAAAAAAAATTAAAGAAACAGCCATGTTTATCGAAGAACGTCATCGTGAAATACAAAAGCTTGAAAATTCTATTAAAGAGTTGCATGGTATGTTTGCAGATTTAGCTTCACTTGTTTCAGCTCAGGTATATATTTTGTTTTGTTTTTTGATTTATTTATGTAATTACTTTTTTGTTTTTTCTCAAGGGTGAAATGATTGATAATATTCAACAAAGCGTAGCGAAAACAGCCGATTATACTGGAAAAGCGAAAATTGAACTTGACGAAGTAGTAGTCAATGACAGATGCGATAGAAAAGTAAATAATAATCTATTCAAATCATAATTTATTAATATACTTTTTATAGAAAAAAATTATTTTATGCATTATTGTAATTGTTATTATTCTTATTCTTATTCTCATATTTGCTGCTTATCATACAATTCAGAAGAATATACTAGGAAGATAAATTCAATATATATTGTGAACAAAGTCGATTATTTTATTTTTATTTGTTGCGAAATATTATCGTTTTATATTATAAAATTTCTTTTTTTTAATAAATCAAACTTAGCTTCGTTTTTTTTTGTTCATAATATATTATTATTCACATCCTATATTTAAAATCTAACAGATGGTCATGTTGTGAAATTTGTTGTACTGAAATTTTTAATATTCAACTAAGGGAAGACCTTTATAAGATATAAAACACGATAATTAAAATCTTGCATGATGACAATTTTTATTTTCACTAATTATAAAATACTATACCAATGTTTTCAATAGCTTTTATATGAAATAATCATTTATTAATCAAGATGATTGTAGAATCAATTTTATACATTGTAAAAATCATTGAACTATTTGACATATATTTACTTGATATTTCTACTATTCATTGTGGTTTATATATTGTAATATAAAGCTGAAATTCAATTCATAATACTAGTTTGATGGAGAAATTTCTCTATGTTAGTCTTATTCAAATGAATCATAATAGAAAATTTATTAAATAACATTGATTCAATTGGTTCTAATTCAAAATGACATACATTAATTTGCTTGAGCATCTTTGCATAAAATCCAATTAGATTGACAAGTATTTTGTTAAAGTTCTAGATTAATGTCTAAGACAAGATTATATGTTCAATGATACATGACTTAAGAAGTCATTGAATAGGAAAGTATTTATGAACTTCTACTAAATGAATGTTTTCTTTCAAAGATAAGAATTTAATTATTAAAATAAGTTTCAATGAATATTTTCGACTTTAAATGACAATCAATAAATAATTTCCGATATTTTACGATAAAATAAATTCAAAGAACTTCCGTTATAAGTTCATGAATAGAACTATATCATAAAAGAAAAAAAAAAAAAAAACATATTTTTCATTTCTTATTTTATTTTGAACTAATCTGTTTTTATCCTATCATAGATATAACGAAGAAAAAGTGTTCCATGACTTTTCAGCTGTATTAGAATTATTAGAATCATTAAATTCTTCCACTATTCGAATTTATTTAAATTAATTTGTTCGAGATTAATTCTATAAAAAAATAATAAGTAATTTTCTCATTTTAATTTTCAAGTATTAATAAATACTCATGCTTACTCCATTTTATTATATTGCTTACATTAAGAATTTTTAATCATAGTAATATATAGAGTTATGACATATATAAGTTTTAATTGTATCCGTTTAGCAAATGTTCCATTGTATGGTATCGTGATATTAAAGTTGATGTTTCCCCCATTACAAGAAAAAGTGTTCCATTTTCTCATATTATAGAATATTAAAAGATGGAACACTTTCTTCTACTAGGTAATACCACCTATAATATTCCCAAATATTCACTATGGAGCATTTACTAAACTAATATTCACAACATCATCAAGAAAATAATTTCTATGAGTAAATTAAAGTAAGCATCAACATTCGATTCATTTTTTTGTTAATAGTCTTAATTTGAGTTAACTAATGCATGATCAATTAATGTACAGAATGTGATTCTATTCATGTAATCTTAGAAAGTTCTTCAATAACAATTTATCAATTAAGTGTACAGTTCATGCAAGGGTGTTCACCAAGTGAATGACTTTCTACTCTCAATCCTGATAAATTTTCATTTTTTCTCCAATCAACTTTTGTAAAAAAGAAAACGCTCAAATTCTTTCAACTTTAGTAATGATCTTCCACTTGACCTCCAATGCTAACGACCTCGGGACACCCGTATATGTTTGTTTGTTTGTTTGTTTGTGTGTGTGTGTTTTCAGAATGAATATTCATCAAATAAATATATATTAGTATTCAAGAGTGGTTAAACAATGATGACTCATAGATCATTTTTATTGGTCCAAAAAGATTGCTACAAGTGCGTAAATGTTTTGTTTATGAATGCATTAAAGAAGAGAAAAAAAAAAGCCGACATCAACTCTAATGGCGTCCTATTACGAGTAGCCTTCCTAGTATTTTTCCACAAATCAAATAATGATTCATCGATCTGTCTTTTTTTTATTATGTGAATCAAATGATGTAGGTGTATTGATATAAATATGATGTTGATAAATAAAAATAAATTTTGTCAAGTGTCGAAATTTGTTTTTAGATTTATACAAATGTTTCATAGTTTAAATTGTTAATATTCATATTCAATGACTAAAGATCGATTGCCTGCTTTGCGGGCTGTAAGTTTTACATAGAATTCTACAAAAATAAAATGAGAAAATCTTCATTTTTTATTAACATTAAACTTTTAGGCTCAAAATGGTGAAGACAGCGATCCAGATGCTGCCTATGTTGCCATTAATATGGAAGATAATAGTCGATTTATGTCCGACTTTTTTGCTCATATCGATTCATTACGTACAAATATTGATAAAATAAGTGAACTTGTTGAGGAAGTGAAACGTCTTCATTCAACAATATTAGCTGCACCACAAGCTGATGATCGAACGAAAGAAGAACTCGAAGAAAAAATGGCTGATATTAAAAAAATAGCTAATGATGTTCGACTAAAATTAAAAAGTAAGTTAAAAAATAACTAATATCAAAAGATATAAATTTCTTTTATCAAAAATACGAATAAATAAATAAATAAACAAATTTAGCTATGGAAACTGAATTAGAACAGGAAGGAAATGATAATGCATTGCGTACAGCCGATATGCGCATACGAAAAACTCAGGTGTCGTTTTGTTTCATTTTATATATATTTGATTTTAATGTTGTTTAAACCTATCCCATTGTTTTCAATGTTGTCTTGTCTGTAATATTTCGTCTTTTGTTTTTCTATCCTTTTTCCAGAAATGGAACAAGAACAAGAACTATTACAACCATCAACAAGCAAAACTCAAGCAGAATTACGAATTGAAAAATCACAGGTAGTATATTTAATAACAATAATAAGACACGACACAATACAACGACTGATTCTCATTTTTAATGTTGTCTTGTTATTATATGTTTACTTATTGAAAACAGCATCTATGAAACACATGCATTTGATTATTCGTTTTTCTAAAAAAAAATCTTTTCCTCCTATTTAGCATGCAACATTATCACGTAAATTTATTGATGCAATGAATGCATATCGAAATGCTGAAATTGAATATCGAGAACGATGTAAAGCTCGTATTCAACGACAACTTGAAATCAGTGAGGAATATTGTAGATATTGTGTCGTGTCAATATATATATATATATATAAATATGTGCTTTCTATGTATATTTATCTGTCTATTTTTTATTGTTATTAGTTACATAATCATTTAAAAAGATTTAATCAAATTATGATTGATTATCATCTAGAAAAAAGAAATTATTTAGATGAAAGTAAAAAAAAATTAAGAAGACAATTTGAAATGAGTGAGTTTTGAGATTAATAAATTCTAAACAAGTAAATGTTCAATTCAATTTTATTTTTATTATATATATATATATATTTGTTTTGTATATGTCTCTTATGCTTTATATGTTGTAATTTTTTGCATTTATGTTGTAGCTATTTGTTTTAACACAAAAATTTCGTGATGTTATGAATGATTATAATCAAGTTCAGTTGGGTTATCGACAAAAGTGCAAAGAGAGAATACAGCGACAGCTTGAGATCAGTGAGCTTGTGTTTTTGCTTTTATTATTTATTGTTATTTAAAAAAAAAAGAAAAAAGATGTTTTGTTTTTGTCTTTACTCAACTAATTATTTTTTTAGCCGGACGATCTGTAACTGAGGGAGAAGTTGAAGAAATGCTTGAATCTGGAAATCCTGCTGTATTTACACAAGGCGTAAGTTTTGTTTTAAAATTTTTTACTTGAAAATTATTTGTTTGGTATAGATTATGGTTGAAACAGCACAAGCTAAACAATCGCTTGCTGATATTGAAGCACGACATGGTGATATTATGAAATTAGAAAAAAATATCAGAGAATTACGTGATATGTTTATTGATATGGCTGCACTTGTTCAGACACAAGTAAAATATTTCAATTCTTTTTTTTGTTTTTTTTTTTTATTAAAATAATTTATGTTTGATTAAAGGGTGAAATGATTGATCGCATTGAATACAATGTTGTACAATCAGAAAATTTTGTCAAAGCTGCAAGTACAGATACGAAAAAAGCTGTTAAATTCCAAAGTGCAGCTAGACGGGTAAGTCTTAATGGAAAGTAAAAGAGAAAAAAACAAACAAACTAAATGTTGTGTCAATGCATGCTTGTCATTATCTAATATGCTTGTTTTTACACATAGTTGCGTGTGCTTGCTTTTCATTAACTGCTCATTGAAAGCTTATTCTTTTCTCGTTTGACACAACATGTATTGATCTTTATTATTGATGAGTATGATAATTAATAGAAGTCAACAGTCATTGTTTTTTCATTCATAAAAGTCTAAATAATTAATCTTGTTTAGAAAAAAATTCTACTAATTCTATGTTTAATTATAACGGTGGTTATTATTGTACTTATACTTGTTATTTATTTTGTCGTAACGAAAAAGAATTCCTCGTCCAATTCTCCAGCATCAAGTACAGCAGCACCTAATGGACAAGGATAGATAGATTAAACATATATACATATACGCGTACGCGCTATATACTAACCGGCATGGCTATATATAAATGAGCACATATAAATATTATTTTATATTATCTACAATACCTCTTTTTTTCTTTTAAAGAAATTATTTATTATTATTGGGATTATTATTGCTGTTATTGTTGTCTTGGCGATTATTTTAGCAATCGTTTTCGGTCGTAAATAGCTTTCATTTTCATTAATTTACTTTCACTTTTTTCTCTTTCTCTCTCTCTCTCTCGCGATTACTTAACTCATACATGTCTACATTTGAGGGACTGTTGATCGGTCTATCTGATGTTTGTTTCGTTTTTTGTTTTGTTTTGTTTTTTATATATTCCAATAGCATAAAAATAAGGACAATATTTCTGTTTGTACAGATTTGCACATTTATTGTCTTTCCGTCATATTATTTCAATTTTGCTATCATTCATTTTGTTATCATCTATGTTTGCATGTGATCAAGTACTATATTCATTTATTTATACTTTTGTCGTTTTGCATTGCTTGTTAATTTGTTATGTTCATTGAAGTGCACGCGTATTTATATAAAATCAAAAGAAACCAAATAGAAAGACGAATTACACATTATACATATTCTATCCTGCTTAGCTTCTGTTTTTGTTAATTTTTTTTTTTTGTTTTTTTTTGATAAATCGAAAATTGAATAGAAAAATCAATATATTCAAATATTTTTTATTTTGTCATTTATTTAGTTATTCATTAAGAAAAAAAGAAAAGAAAAGAAAAAGAATTCTCATTATTTTAGAAAGATTAAAGAGCTAATTCTTGTTTTTTTTCTTCACATCACTTATATATTTCTTCCAGTTCGATGCCGATAAGTATTGAATCATCTTTCGTTTCTCTATTTCTCTTCTTTTTTTCATTATTGATGCCAATAGGCAGTTTGATATAAACATATCATAATTTCTGTCTTAGAAAAAATGTTGCCTACTAACAGTCGCTGGTATTGTATCGATTATATTACTTCTTATCGTTACCGGCCTTATTTTAAATGCAATTCGATAAATATAAAACAAAATGTATGAATAAACGAGAAAAAACAGCATTTATTTGCAATTAGTCATTGCGCTTCGAATCTTCCTTTCATTTTTAGCAATATTGATTTAGTGAAATTTATTTATTTATTATTGTTACAATTTTGTCTGCATGTTAATTTTTTAAAAATATTTGTTGTTTTCCGCTGAACGTTCAACAAAAGAAAAAAGAAAGAATACATATTAAACGAATTTCTTTTCAGAAAAAAATTATTATACTTATTTGTTTGGTTATTATCATTGTTATTCTTGGTTCAATGGTAGCTGGATGGCTTGGCCTTAAAAGATAGCGTAAGTTAAAACACTATTAGTCAAGTATTTTAGTATGATATATCGAACTAGACTAAACTTTTTAGATTAATTATCGATCATTTATGATTTCCCGAAGAATTCCTTAAAGTTTTGTTATTAAAAAAGATACAGAAGTCAGAGTAGTTTGAAATAAAACTTTTGATTAATTTATGTCGAGATAGAATTTTGAAATGTTTTATGAGTGTTTTAGCAGATATTGTATTTAAAGAAACATAATAAAAAATGATTCTAACATAATAGATTTCACTTTTATTAATACAGGAATCATCTATAAAAAAAAAGAAGTCTGGTCGGACATTAATTTATTCTCATATAAGGCTTCAAAAAAAAAAAAACCTATCAATTATACTTGGGACTGTGTGAGAAGAATTTCAATTTTTCTAACTATAAGCCATGCTTTGAGAGAAAGTGGGACGACTTCTTGAAAACCATTATAGTGTAAGCCCCATGTTTTTCTTAATAAATCTATTAATAAAGTCCAATCATATGGCGATAATCCATGCTTATTCTCATAGAAAGAAAATGTTGGTGCATATTCCTATGATAAAAATTCAATTTTTTTTTCGTACGAAATCTTCTTGATATTTCTCATGAAGTATAATTTTGAATTATAATCTATTCAATTTTTCATCTGATTTATTATAGTTAAATGTTTGTTCTCAAAAGAATCGAACAGTTTCATTTTCAAACATGCATTATATTGTCTTGTTTGAGTTATTATGGCTATTAAGAGTATGTTCATTTCATCATTTTTCTATAAAGCTTATCTTTTTTTAATACTATTCATATATGCCTTATTGAATACATAGATTAATTATAACATGACAAAAAGGTATTCATTTAATCAAAGTCTTATCAGGATAAAGTCAATCTTTGTATGAATACTATTATTTAAAAATAGAAAAGTCTTACATTTAGCTGTAGGTATATTTCGTAATTCTCTTGTAACAATGAAAAATTGCATATGGAATTAATAAGCACTCAATGCTCTGTCCAAGGATTTTGTAATCTTATTATGTAATGAGTAATATTTTGTGTTGGTCTAAAAAGCTCTTAAATCTATCTGATATTAAAAATGACAATCATCGAGAATGACTCCTTTTTTTTTCTTCTTCTTCTCTGACGTATTACGCCTATGGGGGCTGAAATTGTTTCAACTATTCAGTCGTTTAATTATTGAATATGTCACATATGATAGTGTTCTTCTCTAAACATAAACGAGACAAATCGTTATTGATCCAGGACTCAGTTTTCGAAACCATCTTGCTCATATCTATTCTTCTCACTTTTAGAGTTAATTTATACGAACAATATAATAGAATATTTTTCTTTTCTAGGACTGATTGATGTGGTCATGTCATAACAGTATACGTGTATCAAATCAAAAAATCATGTTTATCTTTAAAAAAAAATATTCTAGTTAATAATTCTGAGCTTTTTATTTTTTTTTTCTCTTCAATATGCAAAATGAATAGTTCTTCTTTTCTTTTCTCTTTTGTTTGTATTAGGCTGTATTCAATGTTAAATAATTGAGTAATTTAAAACGATTAAACGAATTGATTAATTAGTACATGTAAGAAAATTATTTAAAAAAGAATAAATCTCATTATCGCTTCTTGTCTACGTATGTAATGTTAGTCAAGTCAGATGAGTGTGTTTTAACGTTTTTGTTTTTTTCGGTTTGGTTGTTTAAATCTTTAATATTTAAGATATATTCCAAGAGTTTTCTCTTGCTTGTTTTATTTTATCTGAATAAATTATCCAAAGAAAACACAAATATACATATATAAAATATTACTAATTGTCTCGCAATTTTCTTCTTTGTGTGCACATATGCATATAGTTTTTAACATGTATTATGTCTTCGTTTATTTCCATGTTTGCCATATTGTTCGTTTTCTCCATATTTTCTTTTTTTTTTAAACACACATGTATTATCTTAAATCATTATTTTTATTTCCATAAACAAAAACAACAAAAAATAAGAAAGGTGAATAATTAATAAAAATAGCATAGACTAATTAAATTTGTCCATTTCTTTTTATTATTAATAAAATGAATATATAATAAAGATTAAAAATAAAGGAAAAAAATGAAAGCTGTTCATTGATGAATATTTGTACAAATTTAATTTGATTTTATATATGATTCAAGCCATTTAACATGAGCTGAAAGTTTAACATAAACACCCGGTGCCATACTTGGTGTTGTTGCTGCACCGTATGATGTTATACCAAGAACAATCCAACGACCATCTGATTGACGTATAAGTAAAGGACCACCGGAATCACCACTCTTTTTAATTATCATAATAATAAAAAAAGAGAACGACATAGATATTTTTATTCATCAAAATATTTTCTCTTACCATAGTATCTGTTCGTTGATTATAATCACCGGCACAAATTTCTGTATCGGAATCAAAGACACTGCCATAAGTACGACGACAATAATAATTATCAAATATACGTACATCAGCTGAATTAGAAAAAAAGAAAAAGTTGTTAGTCGAATCCCAATGGAATAACATGTTAGAATCATTTTTAGTCGAAAAAATGAGAATGTTGTAATAATATCTGTTTTAGTTCGTGACAATAATCAGTCACGCGGTAACTATAAAAAGGGTAAATGGATGATTAACATTCTAAGCATTGTATTACGAGTCATGATAGTAGAAATATCTCATAATTTTCACAATACAATAAAAATATAGATCATTTTCTTCCATATTTTGATTTTGTAGAATGTTGAATAGAATTTACAATTTGACCTTTTCTATTCCATAGAAAGATAAGTTCAACATTACAATAATTACATAACATTTGATAACGCTCATCAAATAATTATCAAAATAAAAAGAAACTTGTCAATGTAGTCTTCTAAATAGACATGAGGAGATTAGCCATTTCCAGTCCCCGACGGAACCGAAATTATCTTGTCCTTATCTACTTGGATGTGAAACTCATAAAATATTCAGATATCTATGCTGTATTCTTTCATATTGTTAATTTCTAATTCATATGTTTTTTTTTTTTTCATTAGACCTTATCGATTACTCAGTAGGGGATTGAGAGAGGGAACAAATAATCACTCGCTTGAAAAAGATTTTTCGTAGCAGAGAGAGAGCTTCGAAAAACGTTTTATGATTATGATCTTTCTTCCCCTAGTAGATGTACTCCTGCAATTATTTCAATATAACAATTAGATTTATTTTACTATCATAAAATGTTGAAAGATAAAATTTATAATTAAGAAAAAAAAAAAGTCATATACTTGATATTAATTTGTAAATCATTTACCTTGTTGTAATGTAAAACTTTTAAACATATTTGTAACACTATTTTGTGAACTATCACCCCATCCAATAATAATACCAGTACGATTAATAAGTGCTTGTCCATGATCAACAGTTGTATATGGTGCAAATGGTAAACAAACAGAATTTATTTTAGGTCCATAAAGTACAGATTTACTTAATTTAAGTACAGCTATATCATATTTACAACATTTATCAAATTTTGGATGTCGATATATAGCACTAATTGAATAATAATTTAAGGGATTTAATTTACCAAGAATTGTATGAACACCAATAATAGCTTTCATTTCACTAGCTGTTGTATGTGTTAAACAATGTGCAGCTGTTAATATTGTATTTTCATTTATAAGTACACCGGCACAACTCCAACCATGACGAGGACTTGTAAATAATGCTACCATCCATGGCCTTGGAAAAAAAAAAAAAAATAAAGAAATTTTTCAAAGAAATTTAATTAAAAAGTATGTTTTTTTATATGTTACCATGTATGCCAAATAG